CCCCTGGGGGGGTCCCCACCGGCAGTTAGGCTCCGCCCCCGCCCCCGCCCGGGAGAGGGAACGGGACGCCCCCACTGCCCCGGGTCCCCTCTCTCGGAAGCACCCCGCTGTGGGAAGAAGATCGGGACCCCTTAGTTCTGCAAGTCGACTCGGGGAGACCAAAGAAAGAAGCAGATCAGAGCCCAGGGACCGTTCTCCTAAACCGGGAACAATCCAGGGCAGTGCCACCCGCTTCCTCCCCGCCCCTACCTGGGCGCGGGGCCGCCTGTCGCTCCGAGGGCGGGATCCGATAGGCACCCTCGCTGTCCCCGCGCCTCAGCTCCGGAGCCAGTTGAGCTGGGGGCTCTTTGGAGAGGCTGAAGCGCCCATTCCCCAGTCTCGAGGTCTTCCAGGGGCCAGACACGCCCCCTGCCTACCTCCGCCTCAGAGAGCACGCCCCCTCTCCAGCCTACTACTCAGGATGTCATCCCTCACCCCTTCTAAGAATTAATCCCACCTCCATGGATGTACCTCGTTCTTCCCAGTACCCATCTCTGCAAGGCACCCTCTCCTCCCCCAGCCTCTGCGGGAGCAGGCCTGTGACCTGAGCGCGCAGAAACACATCTCCTGCGAGGGGGAGGCGCTGTTTCTGACGTGGGTAGGCCTCTTGTCTACATTCAGGACAGCTGCTCTCTAGAGACCCCGACCCCAGCACATCCCCTCCTGCCTGTATAGAGGGCTGCACCTCCCTCCTCCAGCCCTGGTAACAATCCCTATAGCTTAAATTCTGTCCTTTCTCCATCTCTAGGATATGGACCGTCTTGTGTTCTACATTGCCGATGAGGAAACTGAGACTTGCAACGTTTCATTGCTTTTTCCAATGTCTAGCTGCCAGTGAGTGAGTGGCTTAAATTCAAGAGCTCTCATTCTTCCATTTCAAAAATACTTGTCAAACATTGCTTCTGCACTCTGCACTGTTCCAGACAGCCGGGCTGCAATCATGCAGCAGAAACGGTGATAGAACACACATAGTCAGTTCTGTGGTGTCTTAGACAAGCAATTTCAAGAAAGCTTGGGACAGCGGCAGATCGAGAGTGATGGCGCTTCAGGCTGCATTCCAGGTGAGACCAGGAGTCTTAGCTGTGTGGGACACCGCGGGTCTGATGTCCACGCAAGGGGCTCACTGGAGCTTATGACATATGGAGTTATGTCAAGAGTGATAGGGTGAACCTGGTTTCCGGACCTCCTTAAGGAGGTGGCATTGATGGCATTTGTCCCTTCTTGGACAGCTCTTTCCAGAGTGTTCTTTCTACCTGTAGTTCAGATCATCCTGGCTGCCCAAGGTACCAAACAAAGCTCCCCATTAGGTGCCTAGACCAGGCCCCTCAGTCTAGCCTTCATCTCTTGTGCTTGGAGGAAAAGAGCGGGTGTACATCGACAGAGCTGGAGAGCCAGACCCGGATGGAACAGGGACAGCTGGGCCCTTGGGAACACCGGCTCCACTGTGTGCCTTGGCTCCTGTGTTGGGACCCCCAGTGGAGGCGTGAGAGACGCCAGACGAGTGTGGGTGGTTCCCAGCTGCCTCCTTCAGGAAGACCTGCAGGCTGACAGGAAATAGAGATCTGCTTAGGCCCCACCCAAGACCCCATCTCCCTGGTGGGCCTGGAAGGACAGCCATGCTTGGGACATGGAAAGGAGCCAAACCCAGAGTCATCCTCTCTGTCCCCGCTGCTCTTTTCCCCTCCCGCCTACCTGAAGCTGGAATCTCCCAGCATGCCTTGATTTCTCTTCTCCATTCTTGGGTGGAAAGGTCTCGGAGTACCCCTACTCCCTCTGGACTGACTCTTGGCTCAGGCTCAGGTTCAGTTGGCTCCCATGCTTTCCTTCTTTGGGAAAGTGAATCTGGAACCTTCCTTCAGCACCCCTGTCTGCATCCTGCCTCCACAGTGGTGTGCTTTCGAAGGTGGGACAGAGTCGTCTCGTCCAGGGCATCGGCTTTCTTTGCCTGTTTCTGCATGTCACTGAGAGCCTCTGAAAGGAGAGCCTGAGCCCTCCTGGATGCTGTTGGCTGTTCCCATCAGCCACCTCGACCTTCCCAAGAGCCATCGAAGCACTGGAGAGGTTCCTGAGCCAAAGAGGAGGCCTAGGGGCTCCCCACACTCTTTAAGACCCTAGGTCCAGCTGGGCGGTGGTGATGCGTGACTTTAATCCCAGAACTCAGGAGGCAGAGGCAGGCAGATCTCTGTGAGTTCGAGGCCAGCTTGGTCTACAGAGTGAGTTCCAGGACAGGCCTCAAAGTTACACAGAGAAACTCTGCCTCGAAAATCAAAAAAGAAAAAGAAAAAAAAGACCCTGGGTTTAAGACAAGTGCCCGACAGTACAGTCAGAAAAGGCAGCCGAGGGATTATAGTTTGGGAAGCCTGGGTTCCTCACTTCTGCACCTCCTGAGGTAAAACTCTTTGCCTTGCTGCCTGAGTTTGGGCAAGCGACGTGACAAAGACAGCTCAGGTACCCGTGTCCCCATGGTGTTGGGGTTGCCTCATTTGAAGGCCTGCCGTGTGCATGCTCAGATTTCTCCTGCTGATGCCCCTCCCCTCTTGCACAGAAGAAGGTGTCCAAGAGGGAAAGAGAGCCACAGCCTGGAGTAGAAGTGGGGTCAGGAGGGTCGGGACAGGGCAACAGACAGTCCCTGGAAGAATGCGCATGTCTCCAGAGCAGAGATGTGAGATGGGGCTTCAGAAACCAGGATGGCTGGCCTCTTCTACCATGCTGCCCAGACGTTGGTTATCACCTGTGTGCAGAGAGCCCTACTTAGACCACGTCATCTCAAGGTCCATGGTCCTGAGCATCTCTCCTCTTGCCTCCTCTTTGCAGAGGTGGAAACTGAGGCTCAGGGAGTTGAAGCCTCCACCCTGGGGCAAATCTGCAAGAGGACAGACACGTTTGAACCCAGCTCTGTGACTCAGGAGCAGTCGTCCCACTCTGGAGGCCTATCAGTGAAGTGGGCAGCTCTTGTCCTTCTCTCGCCCACTCAGAAGAGTGACCCAACCCCCATCCCACGTCTCTTGGGTCCCCAACGGGTTGGAAAATCCTGACAGAAGCAGATGGTGGGGACAGATGGAGGGGAAAGCATCTCGGGGGCTGAGTTCACACAAACAAACATTGATAAAGTGATTAAAACCTTAAGTCCCGCCTTCCCAGAAAGCCCTGCCCACCCAGCCTGGAGCACAGTGAGCTGTGAAGTGGAATCCGGGGTTCTCCTGAATGCCCCAGGTCTCAACCTCATTAATCCCAGCCTCTGCCAGCTTCCCTTGATGCCAGGGACCACCCCCGGACCAGAGCCCAGGGTGGCAGAGCTGCCAGGAGCACAGCCCGGGAGGGGGCGGGGCAGGCCTGGCAGTTCCCCAAAGAGCTGGCCATGAGGAGGGAATAGCTGGGGAAGGATGGAAAGTCCAGGGCTCTGGGGCTGCAGGCCTGAAATCATGGCCAGAAGGATAGGGGTGGGGATGCCAGAGCTAGGGTCTCTCTGGGGGAAGCCCCACTTGCCACGTCGGACTCAGTCTGCCCAGGTCACACAGCAGCCCAGCTGCCCACAGAGCAAACTGAATTCTGAGTCTCAAACAGCTTGATTTGGTTCTCTCCTCCGTAGAGGGAGACAGTGTCAGAGACAGCCCTGGAAGGGTGGCCGTGAGGGTGAGGAGCAGACACACATGGTACCTAAGTACGTAGGTACTCTGCACATGGTACAAGCACCTAGGTACCAAGGTAACAAGAGTCTGGGACCGGCTGGTACAGCAGGCCCCTACAGAGCAGAGGTTTGGGCCTGAACATTCTACTGCAGCATCCTGTAGCTGCTGGGCTCAGTGGTAGAGAGATGGTTGCACTGACACCCAAGAAGGGCAGAGTTCCTGGGCCAAGGCAGCTGGAGCCAGTGTCAGGGCCTTGGATGACAGTGTTACCTCTTTAGACCTGCATTCAAATCCGGCCCTTTTCCTAGTGGCAGAAAGCAGGCAAAAAATAGCCCTCTGACCTTCTGGTTCCTCCTTTGTGAAACTAACATTTCCAGCTGCTTGCTGGACTCCCTCCCAGAAGCCCACAGACACCCCCGGCTCAAGCCAGCCAGCAGCCAGCTCATCGCCTTCCACCTCCAGCTTGCCAGGTCTCCGGGTCCTCCTCCAGCCCAAGCAAGCAAGCCCGAGACCCCACCACGTCCAGGCCCCTCCCTCTGGCTGGTCTTGTGTCTGCTACCTCCTGGACCAAGTCTTGCTCATGCAACAGGGGCAGGGTCTCCGCTTCCCTCTCCAATTTATTCCCCCTTGCTTCTGGCCAGGTCCCG